TTTAATAGAAAAACCTCCCAGTCTCACAAAATTCTCACAGTTTAAAATGGCCAGAGGTTGGGAGAGTATGAAGCTGCAGCATCACATTAAATTGCATTTTTTTTCTCTCTTGGGTGTCTGCTTAGAGCTATTGTTAGAGACAGAATACAGTGTTAGGTAAAGCATTGGCCTATTTGCTTATTTTTTAATATTTAGAAGTCTCCCAAATAAGAGTTAATAAGTAAACTGCAGTAGATGATCTTTTTGTTGTCATACCAGCTGCAGACCATCAAATAAATTCTTGAGCCATGACAAAAGGATGGTAGCAAATCCCAGGATGGGGTGCAGGAGTAAAAGAGATGGGTTTTCTGAATTTATTCCTGCCTTTACTTTTACAGAGTAGAACACTGACTCTGCTGTGGGCAATACCAGTATCACCACTGTTAACTGACACCAGCTACGTGGTTTCACCACTTACACCTGTACTCTTGCATGTGGCATGTAGCTTGTTTAAAGAGTTTACAATGCACTTGAGCCAAGGTTTAATAGGATAGCATTAGAATTTTCTTCAGATGATCTGAGAATAGAAACCTTTACAGATTTAAAGCAAAACCTGAAAAACATACATAATGTATTTGAGACTTCTGAAGGCATAAAAGAAATGCATTCTGGTTCAGCTGAATTATCTGTACAGAATAAGTTTAACATGAAAGAGAAATCTAGATATTAAAGGTTTAAGTATTAAAGCCTAAATACTAAAAGTGAAATTCCTTGTCTGAGAACATCACTTGACAGTTTACCACGCCTGGAGCAGCTGACATTGACCTTTACCCTTGCATATTTCCCTCTCCCTCTCACTTTGTAAAGGGGAACAACTTGTTTATACTTCTTTCTAGAGCTGTATTCTCTCTAGAGTACCACTGTTCTCAGAAGCCAGAACTGTTAGTGCTCAGTCTGCTATTGACTGTCCTGTCAGAGAAATTACTCAGATCTCTTATGGATAAATTATTAGAACCTACAAGTCATGCAGGCTTCAAATTAACTGCAGCAAGTGTGTATCTTCCTAAAGACAGAGTAAGTGAAAAAGGACTTCTGGTTCAGGAATGCACCCTATTTACACCATCCCTGTGATGCTTACACTCAGGAGCCAAGCAATAGAATAAGATGTTCCGGCTTCTCCTCTCTTCTCTTGTGATAACACAGCTCTGCCTAGTCTGGGTACCCCTACAGTCTCATTAGAACCAAGAGAGCTGAAATAAACTGCTTGGTAGGATCAGGTCAGTCTCACACTGACACTTCCTCAACAACCTTCCACATCCATGCCATTAAAACTGAAGCTCCTGCTTGTCTTAGATCTCCAGATCCTAAAGGATTTACAGGGTCTGAATAGTCTACTGAGGTATATGAATATAGCCAATAGCTTCACTAAATAAACAGATAATTTCTGCTGACACACATTTGAAATCAAAGGTCAGGTTATCTTATCATGCTTTTCTGATAAAAACATCAAATTTGCCATTGGTGTGCCTTGATGTTGCAAACTAATTCTGTGGGTGATTTCTGTACTTATGTAAGTGATGACATTAAAGTAAATAGAAAGTCTGGAAGTACTTCAGAGAAAGGTATTTACTTGAATAATGGCTTCTATGGTCATACTCTGTTGAATCTAACTCAAAGGAAATCCTACTATTCCCACACCACTATGCAAAAATACAGCTCAAAATTAAAGAAAAAACCAGATATTCCTAGCTTACCATATTGCAGTACATCATATTTTGGATATTATTTAAAGTTCAGTATTAGTAATTGAAAACAAGCACTGTGGATTGATGTTACGTGTTTCACATACACTCATCCACATGGAAACCACAATGTACTGTATGCATGACATGCACACATCTAAATTTCAAAGATCCTAAATGGCAATGATTCAAAACACAGAATTTTTATCTATTTTTCAGCACTTTAATTTTTTATTTTGTATGTCCTTATGGCACAGTGGATAACCCCATAAGCAGCAAAGAAATTTCAGTTTACTGCAAACTGATGTTACAGGTATTGGACCCTCTGTTAGGATCATATAAGACATCAGATAAATGGTCTTTTGCTTAAAAAAATTGCACATCATTTTTTCAAACACTAATGGTAGAAAAAATTATAATTGAGTAATGATTGATTATGATTATCTCTTTTGTAATAGCCTACCTGTTCCAATTCCACTACCTTCATCCACAACCTTTCCACAATCAAAAAGCTGTGCAAGGATGAAGTGCTGGTGTGGGAGACAGTGGACACAAAACAGAAAAAAAAGGCATCAGCTGTCATGATTACACTCCAGTTGCTGCATATACAAACATTCATGGACTTTAGTCACCCTGATACTTATTGCTGCCATATCTTCCTCCTCAGCTATTGGTTCCTATATTTTAAAAATATAAGCACATAAGTTATTTTAATGCATTCGATGAAAACTAACCATATGACTAAAAACCAATCGCTTGACACTAAAAAACTAGTTTCTCCTTAAGAAAAAATAAACTCCCAAATAGTCTGCATCTAATATCAACATGCCTCCAGTTCCATAGAGTCAGCTACTCAAACTTATTTGATTACACATATCTCCAGAAGTTTATTATAAAGTCAGTAGAAAATGTGGAGATAACGGAGCACTGAACACTGCATCAATGTTACTGCAGTTTTGGCAGTTATTTTTCCAGTAATATTGAGAAGCGTTATTATGACTAAATGTAGTAAAATTCCTGCCTTCAGCAGTAAAAAACCCAAAACAAATCTAACACCTAAGGCCACGCTCACAAAGAGGAGTTTGTGCATGGATTACTGAGCAGGATTGTGGCAGAGCAAAACTCTCGAGACAGCAAGAACCAAAGAAAGGGGGTATTTAAAACAACAGTTCAGTCTTTTCTTCATCCTTTCAAAAGAAGGTAATACATTCCTTTTATCGACTGAAACACTGTGTGGTTAGATTTGCTTCACTTAAATGTTCCCACAGATCTGACTGCTGGGTGTACATCTGCACTAACCACCAAATCACCAGAAGTTTCAGTCATCCAGGATCCTGTGAAGTGAAAGGTCAGCAGATATGCAGAACTGAAAGAGATCTGTGAACTTTCCCCTTGGTAAGAAAATGCTAGAGTAATGGAATATTGCAAATAGCTGTGGTTTGGCAAAATCTAAGAGTATGCTGTGCAACACACAAGCCAGTAAGGGAAGGATCCAGTGGAGAGCATGATCAAAAAAATAACAAGCCATAAGCAAAGCAATTCTTAGCCAGTGTATCTTGTATCTTTGTGCACTGAAAATCTATTTTACTGACAAAACAATCTATTGTGAAATCAGACTTACCTGCTAACTGAATTTCTTCTGTACTGTACTGGGTTAGATTTTGACATTTTCCAAGCTTTATCTTGAGCTGTGCATTTACAAAAAAGAAGGACCTCTGTCCAGATCTCTGGCATCTGGTCACTTGGCCATATCCTCTTTACCTAACTGTCCAGACCACTATGGCTGAATTTTTGCAGCCTCCTGGGAAGAAATGAGAAATAGATCTTCCTTGCTTCCTTCTTGTCCTGCTGGTCTTGGCTTACCTTTTAGAAGGCACCTGGATGTTTTGGTAAGTGGGTTATTTTTTAAAAGCAAACCTCACTTGCTCTCAAATCAATTATATCATTCCTTCATCCTGAAGCTTGTGTTGCTATCTAAACATCATCTCTGCACTCTGTTCAATAGGGGGTTGTTTTATAACAGTAATGTGACTTACTTAACACAGTATTTGCTGAGTTACTGTGAGGCAGGTGGCCTCCCTCTCCATTTTTAGGGAAAAACCGGGCTCCTCACACTGCCATAAATGCCTAGTATCACATTTTAAAAACATACTTCTATATACGCATTCTAAACTAATGCCTTATCATATACTATCGTACACAGTTGCCTTAGTACTATATTTTCAAAGTGTAAAAGGACCAGAGTATGTAAGTATTCTCCCCCTGCAAGTTTAGTAGCTTTTTCAAACAAGTGAAGCAGTAGAAATAAATAACTAAGAAAACAGAAAAATAAAGCAGCAAGACAACCGCCTTTACTGTAGATTCCTTTGTGTGAAATTAGCCGGGTTTTACTGCAGGGGCCGTGCGACTCGGTCGGGGTTATTTTGGGTCAGTAACGCTGCCAGCGAACAATACCGGTTTCCTTTCGGCGACAGGACAGGAAATAAATTACGAGCAGTGTGCAGGCGCTGCCCTGGAGACGCCGAGCTGCCCGGCTCCCTCCCGCGGACGCCCAACCGATTTCCGACCCGGGGCTGCCCGAGGCCACCGGCCTGGCTGCACCGCCCTCCGCGGCGCCGCTCCCGCACCGGGCCCCCCCTGCGCCGGCGTTACAGCCCCCGCCCCGGGGAGCCTCGGGGAGCGCCGGGGGTGACGCACTGCCCATCCAGCCGGGGCTGCCGAGCTCTCTCCAGCACTGCCGCCCCCCGTTACGCTCCCCCCGCGCCGCTGGCGAGGCGGGGGCCGGAGGCGGAGCCTGCTCCGCAGGGCAGGCGGAAGGAAAGGGCCGGCCGCAGCCTGAGGCGAGCCGGCGCGCTGCGGGGCCGGGATCCGCGGACCCGCCAAGCGCCGGGGGATCAACGGTGCGGCCGGAGCCGAGCGCCGGGGGACTCGCCGTGAACCCGAAGCCGAGCGCCGGGCGACCGGTGATACTGCTGCCACCGCTGCGGCCGCGCCCCGAGCTATAGCGGTTGTGGCTGGGGCGGCGGCGCTGAGCGGCCGGGCCGCTGCCGGTGCCGCTGCCGGTGCCGCCCCGCGCGGCGCAGCCAATGGTGGTCGGCGGGGCGGGCTGCGCCGCGCGGGGCTGCGTTGTGCAACGCGCCGCGCTTTGAAGGCACCATCACCCCTGGGAGGCAGCGCTCACTCGGCATCTGTCACGGCAGGGCGGCCGGCGGCGGGCCGGGCCCAGCGCCCCGATGAAGACCCGGCGGGACCGGCCTTCCCAGCGGGCATGATCCACCCGCGCTAGGAGCGGCTCGTAGCGGTGCCCCGGCGGGCAGGATGGCCCACATGCTGCATGCAGCCGCCCGGCGGGTGCAGTGGAGCAGGGCGGGCACCGCGAAGAGGGCTGCGTGCCTGCTGGCCGCGGCGTACGGGCTCAAAATCCTCTACCCCATCATCCGCGGGCGTGTGAAGCGGGCGAGCGGCAGAGGCGGCGCGCAGGATGAGAGGGGCCGGGCGGTCCCGCACGGCACCGGGAGCCGGGGTAGAGCCTCCCCGGCTGTGGACGCGGAATTCTTCAAGCAGCTGCTAGAACTCCGCAGACTGTTCTTCCCGAAGCTGGTGAGTGCCGAGCTGGGCTTGCTCTGCCTCCACTCGTTTGCTCTGGTATCCAGGACTTTCCTCTCCATCTATGTGGCCGCCCTCGATGGAAAAATTGTGAAGAGCATTGTGGAGAAAAAGCCCAGGAGCTTTGTCTTCAAGTTAATCAAGTGGCTGATGATTGCAATCCCGGCCACTTTCGTGAACAGCACCATACGGTACCTGGAGTGCAAGCTGGCCCTCGCCTTCCGCACGCGCCTGGTGGATCACGCCTATGAGACCTACTTTGCCAACCAAACTTACTACAAAGTGATCAGCATGGACGGGCGGCTGGCCAACCCGGACCAGTCCCTCACCGAGGACATCATGATGTTCTCGCAGTCCGTGGCGCATCTCTACTCCAACCTCACCAAGCCCATCCTGGATGTTGTGCTCACCTCCTACACCCTCATCCGCACAGCACGGTCCCGGGGGGCCAACCCCATCGGGCCCACAGTCCTGGCCGGTCTCGTCGTCTATGCCACGGCCCGTGTGCTCAAAGCCTGCTCTCCCAAGTTTGGCAAACTAGTTGCTGAGGAGGCTCACAAGAAGGGCTATCTGCGCTTCATACATTCACGCATCATTGCCAACGTGGAAGAGATTGCTTTTTACCGAGGGCACAAGGTAAGGAGGCGAGAAATTGGAAGCACTGGGGTCACTGCTGCACTGCCAGAGTGGACCCATGCTTCCCCTGATGCCCTTCTTGAGCACTTTGGGTCCCTCTGACATATAAACTTGTTTACAGCTTGGCACTTCCCATTTCTTAGGAAATGCCGTCTCACAAGCAGTGTCTGGGGGAAGCAGATCACAGTTCCCTTGAACTCTGGCAATGTTCTGGTTTTGCAGATGGATCTTATGCTTATCTAGAGAACTAATCTACATTGCTGTTTTTCCCCCACCCACTCCGTTCTGATTAACTTTTCCAGACTTCTTTTTTTCCAACCATGTTTATGAACCACCATATTTAATTCCGCAGAAATAGCAACCATGGCACACCAGAAAGTCTAGGGGGAAACTCTCTGATGGCTCAGAGCACACTAGAACCTTTGACACTTTCACATAGCCAAGCAAAGATGTAGTCACCAGTCTTAAAATAGCATAAGTACAGTACTTCTGCAATCACAGTTACATAAACTAGTAGCTTGTTTTAAAGCCACCTTACTAAGGGATTCATATATTTTTATTAGAAGTGAATTTTGGCTGTAATACCTTTCAAACACAATTGGGAAAAAAAGTTGTTTCATGCAAGGTGAAAATGAAAGCTGGAAACCAGCCTGAAGTATTATTCTTTCAGTTCAAGCAATGATTATATAATGTTAATGATTTATTTCTGTAGACACAATCGTTCTCAAAAGCTGCCTGTAATAATGTTTTAAGTGCAGCTAAATTAAATGTTTTCTCTATACTCACATATATGGGTTTGAGCTGAATACATACTGTATTGACTTGCAACTGTCTTTGACTTGTTAAACCTCCTGGGATAATTCTCTTTCCCCAGACTGCTTGCAAAAATAAGCAGTATTTCAGGAATCAACTCTGCAACTTTAAGTCACTGAAGATAATTGATCCCCGAATGCTTTCCATTATAATTTTAAGTTGCTGTGAAACTCTACAGCTGCAGCTTTATTAAAAGGATGTGAAATCAATCGTATTTTGATTGTTAGAATCAACTGTTGTTACTGCTGTGTTGTTCTTGTATATGTTAGAGATCTCAAAAGACTTGAAAACTTGCCAATGTTCTGTCGAGGGACGATGGTGTAAATAAGAACCAGGTCCGCTGACTTCCGTGAAGCTGTGCACTTTTGCTGTGAGACTGCAGCACAGTGAGCATAAAGTCCCACATGGCAGATGTGATTCAGAAGTGACAGCTCCGTGTACCTGATTATTTCATGTACACATGCGAACGTATCTTGTACTACATGTGCCTCTTTATTTCATTGTATACATGAATTTTTTTTATTTTAACCACAGGTAGAGTTGAAACAACTGCAAAAAAGCTACAAGGATTTGACAGATCAAATGAATCTCATTTTGTCCAAACGTTTATGGTACATCATGATAGAGCAGTTCCTGATGAAATATGTCTGGAGTAGCTGTGGTATGATCATGGTCGCTGTGCCCATCATCACTGCAACGGGATTTGCAGATGGCGGTAATACCATCTTTTACCTAATTTCTAAATGCTTCTTTAAAGTTATGTCCTCAAAAGACTGTAGTTCCCTTGAGTGCTGTTCACACTGGTTTATTTTTCACAGATTTTCTTACAACGTCTGTGTCTTCTGTATAACTTGCAAGCATAGCAAATCAGCTGAGCAAGTGGTCCAGCTTGGAGAGTGTGATAAATAGTAGGAAGTCAGGACTTAAAGGATCCTTGTATCACACAAGATTGTAATGATCATTGCAGTCTCCTTTTCACTAGTCACTGTTGGAATGGCAGGCTGATTTTTACAGTGTCACCTTCTGCGAAGTAATACTGTGAACTTTCCTAGAGTGCTTATCTTATCCTTCCATAAACCATAGTGTAATTACTGGTAATTGTAGGTAATTTTTCTCTTATTGTTGACCTGTTAGAAACCGCTGATTTTCCCAACTCCCTGGGAAAAGCTAAAATTCAGATTCCAGGCTAGGATAGTATCATTTTTGACATCCTATCACAACTTTTCTGGAAGTGAAATGAGACTCAGTGATACTACTGCAGATGCTATTAAATACAAAACAAAACAAGAGATAGGAAAAAAAAAGGTATTAAGGACGGCTGTTGATTAATTTGGTTTAACAGACTTTCTCATGCACAAATAGAACTCAATATATTGCAAATTTCCTAGGTTTCCTGTAACATGAATCCTACATAGTCTTCAGAAGGATCAGTTCTAAATTGTGTACTTTGAATTAGGAATGAGTGAATTCTTTTCTGTGCAGTAGTTCTGTTTCTTTCTTGGAAGTTATATTCCAAATCAGGACTGTCCCAGTGGACAACCTTGGTGTGAGCTGTAGGATGACTTTGTGCAGTGCCCACGTGGTTGAGCTGTCTGGCTAAAAAGTTGTGCCGGTGCAGGGCTGGGTGCTCAGCTCCCTGAGCTGCTGCCCATCATGTGGCTTAGGAGGGCACTACATCAGCACCCTGGCTGGCATCCTGGGAACGGCTTCAAAAATATCAGGATGTCTTGTTCCAAACTGAAGAGGCTGTACAAAGGCATTTCACCTCACAGTGAAGGTTATCAGCACAACAGAAAAAGTGATAAGAGTCTTTCTGCTAGGATGGGAATGGGTACAATCAAGAAAAGGAACATTTAACTGCATGTTGTAAATATCTCCTTGGTATTAGAGCATGAATAAAAAAGGACTCATTCATGCTAAACTAAATAACATTCCTATTACTCATGTTTGTTCTTTTGTTAAATACATTTCAATGTGAGAGAAAACAAAGATGCAGCAGTGGCTCACGTTGTAAAGCAGAATTATATTTGCTACCAGCAACCTAAACTATTAAAACATGAGCTTTATTGTTGAGTCCTGGGGCTTACCATAATGGTGGTTCACAAACATAATACTGGCTGTGCTGTCAAGACCAGTTTGAGGTATTACAGGTATTCGAAGAATCAAACACACCTGAAATTGCCATTGACCTGCTTGAGAAAACAGTGTTTTTTGCCTCAGCAGATCAGACACAAGTTTGTTCACATGTGAAGGAAGAGGTAGTCGATTTATTGCTTTAGGATGAATTGAAAGAGTCAGGGATATATACAAAACTGGTACCATGGCCTGACTTGAGACTACAGGTGTAAAGCCATAGATTCTGTACACTTCTTCAAGAAGGAGAAAGAAAAAGTAAGAAAATAATTCTTCAGTAATAAGAAAAAAGAAGCTCTTTGACAGTGATATTTGTGACTGGAATTTTAAAATTTTGTTATATGTTTCAATGAAGAACTTAAGTGACAAAGACAAGATTTATGTTTGATAACATTTGTCATTCTTCTTTGTATTAAACCATTAACATTCCAAATGTTGTGGCTTGGTTTATGGAGAGTAACTATTTTTTGAAGCAAGACTTTGATTTCTCTAGACACAGTGAACATTTATTTTTGTTTATAAAATAAGTGTGGCTAACAATGAAATAAATTAAGAGGAAAAAGGAAAATTTAGTTTCTGTATGAAACAGAGACAGTCTGTCTGTTAAAATGTGACAATTTCAAACACGGGAGGCCAGCCATATGAAAAGTGTTTTCGACAAAATGTTCAAGAAAAATCAGTGTATCAGTGGGTTATATAATAGAAGAGCTTGTCTTTTTGGCCTGTGAAATGCTCATAAATGCTATATAATTTCAGTTTTTTAAATACTCCTAAATTGACTGATGCAGTGGCTTGTAGTGATCCTTAAACTCTTGCTAGATGAGCTGGCCTGGGTGCTGGAAGAAGCCATCAGTAAATACTGCATTTACATTAGGGAGAAATGCTGTATCAGTGTTGTTAAACCATACCTGATTCCTTGATGGTTTAATTGTGGCTCTACATAGCACACGCTGCATGTACTATAATCCCAACAAGAACAGCAAAAATTGGTTGTGTCAGAAGTATACAAATTTCAAATCCTCTTTTAGTAATGAATTAACTGAATTCTCCCTATTTACTAAATGTATTCTTGGAGTGGAAATAACTTTTTAGAGTGAGAGCCACATTAGTAAGAATTTTGTAATCTCTCCTTTGCAAGAGTTTTTCTGTATTTTTTTAAAAGCATGTCTCTCATCGTGTCTTAGCAAGATTGCATACAACTAGTTGACAGTGTGCTGATGTAGAAGTGAAGGAAAAAAATCATAATTAAAACCAGGAAAAATAACATAGATGTATATACTGTCTGTTGGTATATACATATACATGCACACACATATGTATATATGAAAAGTTATGATGTAGCAATTTTAAAAAGTTTCTCGTTAATTATTTCACTGTATTTCAGTGAAATACAGTGAAATAATTACTTCAGTGTAATTAATATTAAATAATTATTTCAGTGTATTTCACTGTAATAACAAAAAATATATAATTAATCGATATATTAATATATAATTATATATACAATTATTGTTCCAGTGTATTTCACTGTAATACAGTGTCTTTAGTGGTCCAGTTATGTAGGAATAGCTCTATGGATGTGTAAATGAAAACAGAGTAACATTTAGATTTAACTAATAGAAAGATACATCTGGCTTTGGTACTGCCTTTAGATTCTCAGACACCAGATTACTAGAATCTGATCTGTCAGGGAAGTGAGAGTAAGAAAATGCTGTTTGCTCTATTCTTGCATTGTTTGACTTAGCCCATGAAATTTATGGTTGTATTACACCTGCAAGGAGCTCCTCCTAGATTTTCTTGATCATGAGCACTGTGAAACATGGATTGCTAGCACAGGATTTGCCACAGTGGATCCACCTATTACCCTTCCTAGCATCAACTTAGTTTAAAAAAGAAACTTAAAAAAACTTTTCAAACTTGAGGGGAAAAAAAAAATCCAGATCCCATTCTGCAAAAGGTTTATATAGAGATACATATATAGATATATATATGCACATATAAAGTTATGTGATGCAGAAAACCCTTTAGATCTTTCATTGTAAATCTCTTATGTGGAAAATCTTTAGGAGTGGTTTACTACACCAGTGATTTGTAGTTGCAATTATAAACACTGAAATAACGTTTAGTCTCAAAATAGTCAGCCACTTCTTTTTAAATCTTGTTTTCTTCAGGAAACAAACCTTGCAAGTTGAATCTATGAGACCCATAGCAGCAAGATGGTATATGTAGATATATTAAATATACTTACTTCTCATGTATCATATATAAATTCTGCTGCTGTTTTGTCCTTGCCTAATGCTGCTGACGTTCTTATGAGACAAGTCCTTTCTTTGGAGCTAGAGTATTCTTGTTAACAGAATGCAATGTCATAAATAAAGCCTCATAACTTTGTTCTGAGGTCAGATGAAGAGAGAAACTTCATTGTGAAGGAGAGTTATCCTACTGAAACCATGCCTTTGATACCAAAAAAGTTTATTGCTTTCTTACAGAAATATAATTGTGTTGCTAGATTTACACAAATGTGAAGGATTCCTTCTCCATGAAGTCAGTAAATATGTAAGGGTGAAAATTAATAATCACAAAAATGTTAAAAATTATGTTAAAAATCTGTTTCAAGTCATTGCTTAGGTTTCACTTTTTTCATATTTTGAAAAATTTATGTTGTGTGATGATACATTAAAAGGAAAATGATCCATGTAGATAAATAGAGAAAATAGTAGGATGTTTTGCCTAACAAGAAGAATTCCATATGCTCCCACTTACTCTTTTTGACCAAGCTATAGTAGTTATGTTCACCAGTTCTTTTTGAAAGGTTGTCTTCATAGAGTTAACTTTTTCTTAAAAAAAGAAAAAGACTGGTCTATATCTTACATTGCAATAATAATTTAGTTTGTAGAGATAATTTTCAGCAGAATATTTTAACAAAACTTTTTTTTTTATTTATTTAGAGTTGGAAGATGGCCAGAAACAGGCAATGGTTAGTGAAAGAACAGAAGCTTTTACTACATCACGAAACTTGCTGATCTCTGGAGCAGATGCTATTGAAAGGATTATGTCTTCATACAAAGAGGTACTGTACATCCTGCATGCATAAAACAGAAGAGGAAAAAAAGAAAAAACAATTTGCATTTAATATAAAATATTTTAAAATGTAGTGCAGTTTCTAAAGGCAAGTTCTATTGCAACTAAATCCATGGAGATCTTTGAACTGCTAGTTTGATCTTTAGGGTTAAGTAGATAGAGTCTAAAGTGCACAATTGCCTGCATGATGCAATGTGTAGATGTCATTTTTAATACTTGGGTTCAGGTGTCATCAGAGAGCAACAGAATTTCCTGGAAAGTCAGTGATACAGGTTCAAATTCCTCTTCTGTTTGGAGCACGGACCTGAATTCAGGCTGTCTGCCTTCCCTGTACTAGGATTCTTCTTTTTGAAGTGTCATAAAAGCATATAATAGTTTAATTGTAAGAGTCTTTAAAGGTCTTCTAGTCCAACCCCTCCACCATGAGCAGGAACATCTTCAACTATTGCTGGATTGCTCAGAGTCACATCCATCCTGACCTTGAATGTTTCCAGAGATGGGGCAACCTGTTTCTGTATGAAAAACAAGGAGAATTTGAATACTTATTTCTGGGCCACATAAACCGTAAGGCTGTTTTCAGTATCTTGTGAACCTGTTAAATTGTAAGTAATTGTTCAAAATAGAGACATTTTAGGAGGAAAAAGTTCACCTTAGGAGTACAAGTAGTCTAGAAGTACAAAATATTCATCTAGAAGATCAGAGATACTGTTTCAGGTCCTTACCCAAATTCCAGTAGAGCTGGGCTTTGATCTGTTGTCTCTCTTGTGGATTTCTTTAAATGCCAACTGTTAAACCAAAGAAAAGTGAGACAGTGCTGTTAATCTCAACATTTCATGTTTGTTCTTCATATTTTAATTGGTGTTTGCTCGTCCCTTGGGTGGGAGCCCCTTTTCCCAGTGCAAGGAGGGACGCATTAGCTAGGCAGCTAGTCAAAGCCTATGGATTCTCTTATGTGGAATCCAGTCATAACAGGTACAGCTTTGTAAATTGTCAGGTTTGGCACCTTCAAATACAGACCTTGACAAACCCAGAGTCCTTCTAATGGGCTGTGATTTTGACATATTCTCTTTTAGCTGTTCCCCTGCTTGATCTCTGCTCTCAGGATACTGCCAGATAACCTGTTATACACTGATGTAATATCTGTTTTGTTTTCAGCATTGAATTAATTTATATAATGTACATGAGGACTTAGAAAAACCGTGACTTTGTTTTTTTGGTAAAAAAGTACCCACAAAACAGTAGAGGAAGAACTCAACAAACTCACTTTGTCTATAAGATGGTAAGATACTAATCCAGAGAGCATGAGGCCAAAGAGCAGTTCCATGAATTTCCATCTTAATTTTACATTTATGCTTCTCTTCAAGAGACACTGCAGTACTTCAGCCACATTGTCATTCCCATTTTGTGATTCAGGCAGTTTCCAAAGGACAGTGTACTTTAACCCACGTCAAGTGGTAGTGCAGTTCCAGTTCTTGGCCATCTCCTCCACAAAGGCAGCCTCCTTCAAGTCAGTGTAATTCACTGTGCAGATGAGTTGGGCTCAACTTTTCTTTGCAGTCAATAGTTTAGGTGGTAGTATTTAGTTATTTAGTGTTTGAACAAAGTTTCTACAGTCATGGTATAGAAGCTTACTACACGTTATGGCTCTCCTGGGACACTGGTACAATTTTCATTTATCACATGCAGGATTCTGTCTGTCATCCTCCAGTGAAGTGATGGCCATGTGGCCAGAACTAGCGCTCACTTCTGAGTCTGGCACAAATAGTGAAACTTACAGAAGAATTATGGAATTATTTCCAGTTATTTCAAATAATCTTGGAATTTTGTACACCATAGTGGGTGGACTCAGTCATGGAGCGTATGTATTTAACACAGCAAGCCAAAGATTTTATAGTCTTGATCTGATTTTGTTGCTATTCTTGTCCTCTCTGCATTTTGTATGAAAATGTATCCATTTAATACCATCTAATAGTACATTTAAAATAAAAGGCCTTGGCTTAATTCTTTACTACCAGCAGATGGAGGCAGTTCTTTGGAAGCTCTTAAATAGCCCATGAATATGAAGTTACAAAGTCCAGAGATCTGTTTCTGTCTTCACCAGGTGAAAATTGTGACAAATGAACCAAAACGAAAAAATGGAGAAAGCCTTTGAAGAGACCTCACCATCTTGAAAATGCCCAGTTTTTTTCTAAGGTGTCTGATTTAGCATGCAGTTGATAGAAGACTCATTTCTGGTTTGTACTGTATTTTAGGTTAGGATGCCCTGGTACTGCCTCTTTTACACGAAAAGACACACTTCTCCCACAGCAGGTTTCAGGATTATGAGCAAGTGGACATTAGTAATTACAGATGCCATTTTTTCTCACTTCAGTGGACTTCTATTTTTATTGGAAAATGCAGAGATTTTGTTTTTTTCTTGTGTACCAGCCTCTTTGTTTTCAGATATGTTAGTAGGTGTTCTCTGTTCATTGGAGACTACAGAAATGAGAAGTCTCTACAACCTTTTCATTTATTGGAGTTAGCTTACATGGCTTAGCTCAAACTCTCCTTTCTGCTGGTTCGTAGGAGCTACAGGCAGCGTATGGGTTAGCACTCATATGGTTAGAATTTCAAGGAATGAAAATCAATAGGTGTTGATCAACATTGTTGCATATGTTATCTTTGGCCAAACATTTAATCTGTAGAATTTGTAAAGTACAACTGAAACGAGATGTTTGTTGTTTCTCAGGTCACTGAGCTAGCAGGCTACACCGCCCGTGTCTACAACATGTTTTCAGTCTTTGACGAGGTGAAGAGAGGCATCTACAAAAGAACTGCTGTTATTCAAGGGTCTGTAAACAACAGCAGGAGTGAAGATAAAGCCGAGTTACACATTGATGGGCCCTTAGAAATCAAAGGTAATTAATTCATATTTGTATGAATGTCCCAAGGGCGGTGGGGGAGGCATGGAGCAGTGGGACAGGTGAACAGAGGGTTTTTTTTCTTTAAGTAACCAGCCTCTCAGCCTTAATGCCCCAGAGACCATGTTGCCTTTCATTTTAACCCCCTGCTACCTTATGACTCTGTCCTTATGGTGTGCTTTTCTAATGCACATGGCTCAAATGTTTTCTGTAAAAACTTTCAATGAAAAGGCATTTCAACTATACTATTATATGTGATGGTGATGTTAGTATTCTTACAGTGCTTGTTTTCCTCAGACCATTCATTTTCTTCAGAAAGTGGAGACTGTAACATTTTCATCTTCAACCGTCACATTATTTTGTTTGAGGTAGGAGGAAAAAGACAGATTGGTTCAGTAGTTTTTTCCCAAAAATACTGTTTTCCATGATTTAAGATCAGCCTGTGCTCATTTTTTCATAATTTAGTGGGAATCTTCAGTTGAAAACAGCAACTTTAACCTTCTCCTCACCTCCCAAATGATCTGATCAGTATATACTTTTTCCCTCCTGATCCCATCCTGTGTCTTTCTGGTGCCACTGCCTTTCTGTCTCCAGCCTTCCTGGAGCATTTTCTGTGCACGTCCATTTCTTACTGTGCTCCATTATGTGCCACTTCTCTCTGCCTCTTGCATCCAGCTTCTCTGAGCTTTTGCAATGGGTTTTTCCTCATTTTCCCATCATACCATTTCTGCTGCTGCCCTCTGTGGTGTTGAAAAGCCTCATTCTCTTGCTTTAGCTTTTGAAAAGTTAAGCCTCAGTAGAGTTATAGGCCCCAGAGGGCTCTTTGTGAAATAACTTCTTGCAGCAATTTCAACAGTGCTGCCCTTCAGCTCATATTTCTCAAAGGTCCTCTGACAAGGTTCATCATAATAAAGTCTGATGGATAGGTATGGAAATAGCTGACGTCTTAATCTTGTAGATCTTGGTAATACTTGGCTGATGTTAAAATAAATGGTATTTTATAATTGTTGCATTTTGTCATGTATATGAGGAAAGGTTTGTAGTTCCTGGAGCAACAAAGTAATTTGGGGACTCTTTTTAGATAGCTGCGTTTAAAGCAAAACCAAATACAGATATGCAAGTGTGCTCTTCATGTCCCCTTTAAATCTGCTATATCTAAGCCCCACTCCTCTTTCCTCTGCATCCTTTTCCCAAGATTTCATTCCACTACAGTCACCTTTTGTCCAGTCTGAATTATTTCTAAGCCATGGTGACTAACATTTGCTCTTGTGTAGTTGTAGCTCTCAGAGGCAGCTAGCCAAGACCAAGCATTGTGCACAGGGATTTAAGAAGAATTTAGGCCAGATGAATCTAGGCCACAGGCTCCACATTTTTTATGACAAGTGCTATTGTAATACTGGTTTTCCTCCTTGCTTTTGGTCACGATACTTCAGAAATCCCTGAAGAATGGATTGTGTATGGCTAAAAATACCCATGCTCACATACCTGTGTATGTCTGCATTGCTGGAGAAGAAAAATCTTAATATTCAGCTTCCCCAATGGCTCTTTGAACACATAATACTTACTTCCTTTTGAATCATCCAGTATAAGTCTTTGTAACTGAGTAGAGTCTGTTTTGTGCTTTGCATTTACTGTTGTCAGTAAGAGTGTGAAAATACGAAAATGATAATAGTATTTTACAGATAATAATATTGCCTTATAGGATATTTAATAATTCAGAATTTTAGAAACGAAACAGAATTTTGTACATCTTGTAAAAATACTGTCAAATTTTATTTCTGATTACACATAAATATAATTTAAAAGCATACTAAAGTTGCAATCAAATGCTGCGAAGTTAGTATTAAGAAATGAGAATTAGGTTTACTTAATTCTTACTAGCTGACTATATCACAGATTTATTTTAACTACAATGTCTCCACTGTTTCAAAGTAATTTCTTTTTAATAGAAAAACACTTTTTTCCCCATAATCTCATGCTGTTTTAAGTAAAATTCATTTTATGAAAGAAGAATGCTTGGACTGATATGTGGCATAAAAATTTCTGCCCAGGTTGTTATAGTTTGGCAAAGTTGAAAGCAATTGGACAAAGAGCTTCTAAATTAAATATGTAAGACAAACTTAATGAAGGAAATGCTACTAGAGCCTTTTAAAATTAAATAACTAATTTGGTCTTTGTTACATTTTTCTTTGTTCAGATTAGTTTAAGTTAAAATAAACAGCTTTCTAATACAAAGAGAAATGTCTTTCAACTGGTTGGGTTCTGTTAGACAAGACCATTAACAGGTGACTGAGAAGTTAGTTTCATCCTTTTGCTGTTTCCAGGACAGTTAATATTAAAGTCCTTGTATTACACAGTATCCATATATCCAATAGAGGTTGTATATTTAATTTGCCAGAAATCCAAATGCCAAGTGTACCTACCTGACTGAAATGTTATATGAATTTCTACAAATACTTACAAGACATGTTTACAGTGTCTATGGCATCAAAAAGAGATGGAAGCAAGCCATTAAATGTTTTCTGCTTTGCTCTTGTTGCTGGAGGAGACTGAAAGGTACTCTGACTTTCAGAGCTGATTCCTAATTAAATCCTCAAAAATGGTTAACTGGTTTGTCTGTGGCTAAGGCTGTCCATGAACCTTTTTACTGCTTGGTATTAAACAGCCATTCAAAACAGAATACAGAAAATGCAAGTAGAACTTGAATGAACTCATCTTTATGGTGCATCATATATTTATGATGCATTGTGTTTAGGGTCAAATTTAAGTTTCGTTGCATATTCTTGGCTACTGTTGACAGTGTATTTTGGACTAGCTAAGATTTATTATCCAGATTTTCCACTAGGGGAACTCGGAGCACATACAAGAACTGTTTCAAACACCCATCCTTACTTGAAAATATACTCAGTTGTGCACGGAGGCTGTCACAAGTGATTGCATAATGGAGAGCTTCACAAACTCTAATTTTTTTTTTCTTTCTAGGGAGAGTAATTGATGTTGATCAAGGAATTATTTGTGAAAATGTTCCTATAATTACTCCGAATGGCGATGTGGTGGTTTCCAGACTAAACTTCAAAGTAAGATGATATGCAAGAATCTTCTGATTGTTGCCATCACATTAACATAAACAGCACAGAATTCATATACCTTATGTTAAGTACTTGGAGGAGCATATGGATAAAAGGGGAAGTCCAGAAAGGTAGGCATAGTAGCTCAATAGAGGCAGACATATGTAGTTTGTCCTGCTCAAAGAAAGAAAAGGGAGGATTTCTGTTGCTGTTGCCAAGTGAAAAAACTGAGATTTTCAAAGGTGTCTATGGGACTACGCATTCATCTTTAGTTAATTTAGTCAAATTGAGATGCTTTACTCACAAGGCTCCTTTAAAAGTCTGAGGCCGCAGCAACAGTGAAAAAATCAAACCCATAGTTTTACTTGATCAGCACAAAGAGCAGTGCTGACTAATAGCTATGATGGCATAGTTCACAAGTCCAGTTGGGGAGCATTTACTCAGTAGAAACTTGTATTGTTTTTAAAAAGCTATTCCAGACACCTCTTGGTACCTGCTCCCAGTTTTAATGAGTGACCTTTACTGATTTACTGCCATATGTATCCTGATCTGATGTTCCAGTGCAGATGTTATTTCTAAAAAGAGTTGAAGTTATCAGAAATAAATTTAACAATTCCAGGAGATCTTTTAATTTAGCTAAAGCAGGATGTTCCTTTTCCTCTGAATTAGGAACTAGGAGGAAAGGGTCCTAGCTATGGCAAAACTTGCAACAACTTCAGTGTAGGAATTTCAGAACTGCAAAATTACAACCTTATGATCAAGGAGATAGTTCTATTTATTAATTTGTCTCAAGAGACAGAAGCAAAGAAAATGTAGAAGTCAGTATATTTCTGTAAAACATAGATAATGATATTGTGATTATGCATAAATATACATTCATATATACACAGGATAATAGTCAAATGAGTAAAAAAACCACTTGGCATCACAGCCAAGTTAACATAGGTAATTAAGTGGGCAATGGCAACGTGAAAAAAATTTTCCAAATCACTTGATTGGCCTCCCATGCTTGCAATTAATATCACAGATAGACACAATACTGCTTTAAACACTGTTATCACCCTTGGACCTAATCTGCATTAGAAAAATTGATTCTGGCTATGATGTATTGACACGGTAATATAATCATATTACATATTACATTACGTGAATATAATAATATATTACTATATTACTACTATTTACTGCTCTTACTTCTATTACTACTGTTTACTGCTCTATAAACATTAGTTTATAGAGATACTCAGATATAATAGAAATTATTTTCATTATCTCAGCCCACATATTTTTTCTATTGTCACTCTTTCCAGAATAGTTGCATGAATACATGCAGCTTATCAATGAAATTGGTTGATAACTTTATGTAAATGCTTATGTAACCCGTTTTAGGGGTCTTAGACTCTCTTGTGCCACATACACTGTGTAGTAACATCTTTGTATTTTCATCCCCTTTGCAGGTCGAGGAGGGGATGAATCTTTTAATCACTGGACCCAATGGCTGTGGAAAGAGTTCACTCTTCAGAATTTTAAGTGGTTTGTGGCCTGTGTATGGAGGAGTTCTCTACAAGCCCCCTCCACAACATATGTTTTATATACCACAAAGGTATGTGTCTTGCTGAAGATGATGTCTCTTATCTGGTTAAATGAATTTTGACCCTTCTTCTCATATTTCTAAATTGTGATGTGTACATCCAAGTCGAAAGGTGCTAAGCACAACCTTAGGTGTGTGAAGTGTGTTTATAAAAAGAGATCTTTTCTCATTGGTGATGCAGCATCATTAGCCATTGGAAAGGACTCACATACACTTGTGTTGGAGCCTGTGTTCCTCAGATGGATAAATTCCTGGATAATTGGGATCACGGGAATGGACTGGAGTCTGAAAGAAATTTGAAATAGACCTGGTATATCTCAAATCTGATTTCTTTTAAAACCAAGGATTGAAACAAGTGAGAGTGGTTTGATTCTTAAATGTCAAAGTAACCAAAACTTTCACACTGCAAGACCCCAATCCAATCCAACAGTAACTGCAGATTGCCTTTTTAATAATATATGCTCATTTCACTAATAGAAGCTTGGCTTTGTTGTGCTTTCTTTGTACTCTGACATGCCGTTGGACTCTCAGTACATGCTCTTACGCAATTGGTTCCAGAGTATCTCCTTAGAGACCTCTAACTCTTGTTTTGCAAAAGCAAAGTCAAACACTAAATCTTTGCTTCCTGTTAGTTCATTTCTTCCCATGGGCAAAAGAAATATTCGTTATAACAGTTTGGAGCCTTGTTTAAAAAGTACAAGATATTAAGGTGAATGGAGTCTACTGAAGTGATCAGTAGATTTTCCTTGCTGCAGGTGAAGGTAGCAAAGAACACTGCTCTATGATTTTTTCAAATACCAGTATAATTTATTGCTAGCCATTGTGATTTTTCGGATTCACTCAAGACTCTTATTCAGGAGTTTGGAGCAAAATGCTTTATTAAATGTTTTTCAAAGCATTTCAGAATACCCATTGTGTGGAACATTCTTAAAACTGATTTACTCAGAACAAAAGCTAATCCAAATTTTTTTCTTGAAGAAAATCTTGAGTTTCAGTCACTTCTTTCTTCTGTCTGATCCCAGCCCCTGCTCAGATCAACATCTGTGGCTGGCTTGCTTGCAGCCCTTTCCCTTTACTTATGTTCCCTTTATTCTGTGAAAGCAAACAGACTGACCTTGCATTCAGACAGATTTGCCAAGATGCTGATTGGGGGCATTGCATCACATCTGCTGGGTTTTCATTTCCATAAACATGGTTCTCTGTTAGCTGCTTCCCCTAACTTTGCAGTGCTGGAAGAGTTTGTCCAGCAGACCTCTTCTATGAAACATTTCAAAAAGTTTTAGTCAGAATTCACCCAATGTTTTTGCAGGCCTCTGTGACCAAAGCCATGTAGGGTTTGGTGTATGCAGTCCATTCTAGTAGGAACCCCAACACGAAGGGTCCTGCTGTGATGTCCTTGCAACATCCAAGGGACACTGCCTTAGCTCAGCTCTGTGGCTCTTCATGAGCCCTGTGCTTCCCTTCCCAAGGGACAGAGCAGTGTCTGAGTAAATGGGGCAACAGTGAATGACAGAAAAGGCTCTTCTGCAAAGGTGCTACACCTTGATTGTGGCTGAAGATTCTGAAGTCTGCTCTGGAGGACAATTCAGCTGTGTCAGAGTGCGTTTTGTACACTCAGAAACGTGAGCTGTCACTCATAAGTGTCTCATATTTGGACAGGGACTGAGTCTGAATCTTGTAGGGATTTCTGGGTGAATGTGGCTGAAGGGGTTGATGAAAGACAGCAGTTTGTTCAGTTGTCCTTAAAAGCCTCAAATTGGATTTTTTGCCAGTGTATTTGTTCTTTGGGCATAGAGAGTCTTCGATGAATATCTGAGATACTAAGAATTACTTGAAGGGTATCCAGTTTTACATTGAAGTTTGTAAATTGGGAACAAGATTTGCAACAGATCTGCTGGAGTTTTAGGGCTTTTGTGTGGATTACCTTACATGGTCCAGGCTTTTCTTTTTTTTTTTGCCTGTAATCCACCAGTGAGTGCTTTAACAGTTCCTTTATTTGTGGCCTAAATAAATCACACATTCACTTGAGGTTTTTTTTTTTTTGTCTGTCCCTGGCTCTAGTATACATTTAGAATTTTTGTACTGGTTTTTAAACTGTGCTGGAATGCCCAGATTAAAGAGGTTTGTTTTGAAAGTCCTGCTGGTGCAACCATTTTGCTTATTAACTGCAAATTGCTACTTTATCAAGATTACCTTCTGTTTGTTTATTTTTGTTAGGCATAATTCTATGAATTCTAGACTGAAGAATAGAGTGTCCTGCCTATATTTCATCATGTTTCATCATAACTTTAGGAAAAATTGTTCCTGTCAATCTGGAAAATGTTCCAGGAAGTGTTTCAGACTGACAGGGTCTGGGAAGTGGTAAGATGAGATCAACCTAGCATCAGCCTACCTCACTGTTTTGTTTGGTGAGTAGGTGAAACTTGATGATACAGCAGAAAGCTCTTGAATTGGTGGATGTCCATCAGAGCAGCCATTAGGATGACATCCCTGTGTTTATGTGTACACATCTCTGGTCTAAGACACAGCAGATGGCTTTCCATTAGTGGACACAGTTACCATTGAAGCATCTGCATTCCTGTGGCTGAGTTTAATTCTGCATCAGTCCGTTTTGAGTCAAGTGTGGGAAACCTCATCTGCACACATAAATGGACTTTTTGGTTTTTTAGATTATTTAGTGTAATTATACTGCTTTTTAAATCTTTTGCTGTGAATTGTTGTAAGGGCTTTTGTTTCTCCCCTTATGTAGGACTAGGCCTTGCAGAATTTATCTGTAATCAGTCCAAGTTCTGGTGGATGCTGATGGGACAATCTGCCCTACTGGGGGCAGGGTGAGAAAAGCCCAGGAATTTCAGGGGCTCTGCCCCTGTCCCTGACAGGCCTGTCCAAGAGGAGAGTGTGCAGAAGGGGGGCAGGCAGGAGGGGTGGAGGCTTGAAGAGCCTTTAAGCAGTTCAGCATCATTTGGTGCCTGAAGCAGCTTATTGTTTCAGTGCTAGGAACTGGTCACACGTCAACGGAGTTGTCAGATCTAATTGAAGACTCAGTAACTGGCAGAGTGTATGTTCTTACCCCTTCTTCTAATTCTCTCTGTCCCTCTTTTGCAAAGTAAAATTCATTTGTGTTAACCACCTCTTTGCATTCTTCTTTGAATCAACTGGTCAGGAATGTAGCATGAATGAAAATATAATGAATATAAAATATATTAATGAAAATATACACTTGTGGCACTCTAGTTAGTAAGGAATCATGGTTCAAATCAAAATCCAGAAATATAATTTTAAATAATAAATAATTAACAAAAGTATGTAGTGGGTAACATGAGTGCTGATGCTGAAGATATACAGCACACAGAATCACAGAATTCACAGAATGACTAGGTTGGAAGAGACCTTTAAGATCATCAAGTCCAACTCATGCCAGAACCCCTCAACTAAACCATGGCACAACCAGTCTTTTTTTAAACACATCCAGGGATGGTGACTACACCACCTCCCTGGTCAGACCATTCCAGTACTTGATCACTCTTAATAAAACACTTTTTTTCTAATATCCAACCTATATTTCCCTTGGTGCAGCTTAAGACTATGACCTCTCATTCTGTCAGTTGTTGCCTGGAGGAAGAGACCAAGCCCCACCTGACTACACCCACCTTTCAGGGAGTTGTAGAGAGTGACATGAGATGTATCTGAAGCACTTCAGGAATTAGCCTTTCACAACCTCTCTGAAAGTAGCCTGTTTCTCCAGACTGCACCCTGGTTCTACGCTGTTGGTCTTATACTTGGGAGGAGACTCCGTCTTCATGGTGTTAGAGAGCTCTGGCATTCAATTCCTCCTAGCATTTACTCCAGCTTTTCTTGCTCTCCACCTAAAAGTCTCAGCTTTTTCAGTTGTAAGGAAACAGATTCTGCACATGTTGGCTCTCGTTTCCTTGGTTTGATATAAATGCCAGCAGAATTACACACCTACATACTTGCAGGTTACCTTGACAACAGCACAGGAATATTCCTCAATATCTCTGCACTCTAAGTTGCAGTAAAGCTCTAATTACCATTGGGTTATTGATATAAATTGTTAATAATTTTCTGCCTGCTGTGTCATATTGTCTTACTTGCATGAAGGAATATCTCATGCAGTCTCTGTTAGTTCCATAACCTTTGATCGTGACTCTCAAGTCTTCCTAGCACAGCACATACCTAAAATGTCCATCAGCATTTTCTCTTTCTTGAGGCCTGATTCTCATAGAGCCTGGAGTAATACATTGTACTTCTTTCTCCTCATCCATTGTCACTGTTCTTTCTCTCCAGCTTGCTTTTACTCTAATTTGGATATTTTTGTGAGAGGTGTGTTTCTCCAGTAGCATGCATAGTTTCTTTATTATCCTGTGTGCCATTCTAGTAGAAGACCTACCCACTTTCTCACAGTCACAGCAATGGCCCAGTTCTGTATTCTTTCTCTCTTGCTATTGCTCATTCAAGTAGATCTCTAACATTTCTTTCTTTCAACACCAAGATTATCAAATGCTAAAAGAGAGGCAACCAAAGATAAACTAGTATTCAATGTTGTTTGTTCTTTGTCATTTAAAATTTATATACCTATATCTTGCTGCCTTCTTACTAATATTAGGACAGTATGGAATAGAACAGTTTAAAGGTTTATCTGGCCCTCCTAAGCTGTTTGGTTTTGCATACATCTGCTCTATTTCTGGTATTTTATGTGGGGTTCATTTACAAATCTTTTCCTGTCTGGCATTTTTACTTCTGTTTTCTAAAAATATCCTTGGATACAAAACAAAATTACATCAGCCACAGAGATATTTTTCCTCTCCTACTCTCTGAGTAATCCAAATGTCTGATGTGATTTGCCTCAGCTAGTCCGAGAATATTCATCAAGTGGATGAATGAAGCAAGAATGTTTCAGTTCTAAGTGATATAAATAATTAAGTGATAAAATAAAAGTAAATTTTACATTATAAACACATGAAAATTTGAAGATTATAGTGCAACTCAAATGT